TAAAATAAAAAAATGCTTGTATAGGCGTATCTCATACATAATTTATTTTTCTCAGGAAAATTTGATGAAAGTGATTATCTTCACATTGAATAATATTTCCCAGAGATCATGATAACATTGGAGTGCATTTCTGTTAAAGAAAAACAAAATGTATTTTAAAAAGCAACAGTCATTTAAAGGAATACATATACTTTTATAAAGAATATTGCTCAACATAATGTGAATATAAAATATTGAAAATAAGGTTTTTTAAAGTATTGTAACTAAAACTAGCATTTAAAGAAAAAATGACAGTTTAAGTGAACAGTACATACTGAGCCTGTCTTTTATTTTCTATTATGCTCTGTTCTAATCTGTAGTGAGAAAACATGTAAGTCTGGTTGTTCAGAACTTTCTCCCTCTTATGGAAATTGTTAGTTACAGAAATGAGCTAGTGGATCAAGGTTAAAGAGAGAAGGATATGCAAAAACACAGTGACAATCAAAAAGTTCATGAGAAAATAGACTCAAACTTATATATTAAGGAAACCAGAAAATAAGTCTTCAGGTAATATTTAGCAAATCTTTCCTTAGCTTATGTTCCTAGCATTACTCTAATGTACTGAAAGAAACCAAAAAGTACAGTTGTAAAAATAGGATTAAAAGATCACTTTCAAAAAAAGATGCATTAGTCTTTCTCGGCTTTTTTAACTCTTGGGTACAAAATCCTCTAAGTTTTTTGAGCACTTATCTATAATAACTAATTTTTTTTGAAGTATAGTCAGTTTACAATGTTGTGTTAATTTCTGGTGTACAGCATAGTGATTCAGATATATTTATATATTTAATATTCTTTTTCATTATAAGGTATTATAAGATATTGAGTATAGTTCCATGTACTATACAGTAGGACTTTGTTTTTTTATCTATTTATATATGGTAATTAGTATCTGCAAATCCTGAACTCCCAATTTATCCCTCCCTACCTCCTTCCCCCTCCGCAGTAACCATAAGTTTTCTTTTTCTATGTAAGTGAGTCTGTGTCTGTTTTATAAATAAGTTTACTTGTGTCATTTTTTTAGATTCTACATCTAAGTGATATATGGTATTTTTCTTTCTCTTTCTAGCATACTTCACTTAGTATGACAACCTCCAGGTCCATCCATTTTGCTGCAAATGGCATTATTTTATTCTTTTTTATGGCTCAGTAATATTCCATTAATCATTAATTATAATATAAACTATTTTATGTAATTATTTCCATATCTATATGATGTAATAACCTAATAATTTTCTTAGTATAAATTTAACTATTGAGTAATTATTATTATAAATGTGAATCTTTGTGGAAAGAAATGAGAGTCATACACTATTTATTACTACTTACCTTGTTTTGTTATTGACCTTTCATATAATTGTTAACTACTTTTTTTGTAGGTGTCATCATGTATAATAACATGGCTTAGTTTTTCTTCTGTATTTTAATTTAGAAAATTCATGCTTCTCTTCTATAAGTGAGAAAAATTAAAAAGAAGGCCTTGAAAGGGAAACAAATGTTATCAGAATTTAGAAATCCAATTCTTAATATTCTTTCCTTTACAATTACTTAAAAGAATATTGCTTGCCTTTCCTATTATTTATGGATCTTCCAAATACTGTGTCTGGCCTTAAAAGTTATGATACAAAATCTTCTGTCTGAAAAATTACAGAACTGAATGAAATTTAAAAGCCATGTGACGTATACCATTTAGCATTCTCATAAAATATCAGTGTGGTATTAACAAGGGTAGAGCAAATGCAAGAAAAACTAATGTGCATTATGACTTGTGGAAACCTCTTCCTGGGAAGAAACAAGAGACTATAATTCTTACCTATGCTTCACAAAAGTCTTTTTGAGATGGAAAAAATATTCAAGTGTTGCTCATCATTGTCTGGGATGTTTGGGTAAAATATTTTGTATTCACCTTTTAAAATATCCAAATACACATTCACTGGCTAGGATCAATGGGAGAGAAAGGGGTGATCCTACAACTAATATAAATACATGTTATCTTGTGTGTTCCTGATAGTGAATGATTCCAGAAGAAGGATTAAGAAGCATTACATAATGGTTAGAACATGGATTCTGAGCCAGGGAGCATGAGTTCAAATCCTGACTCTACCACTTCCAGTTGTGAGAACTTACGCATGTTGCAACCTCTTGGTGCCTCAGTTTCCTCATGTTGTAAATGAGGATGATCACACTATCTACTTCATCACAGTCTTATAAGAATTAAATGATTTTATAGTTCTTAAAATAGTCCTTGACAAGAAGTAAGTACTATGTATTAGTATTATAGTTAATCTCCCCCCAAAACATTTGGCAAATCACTCTGTAAATCTTTTACTCCTTAGTTTACTTTTTTGAATTAGAATCTTTCATATAACAAGTTAGCCTATTTTTAGCATATCTGTAAAGACCAGAATATTCAGATACAAGCACGACTTGCTTTTTTATAAATTGTGCTTTGCTTTATTGCCAATTCTTTTTACAAATTGAAAGTTTGTGGCAACCCTGTGTCAAGCAAGTCTATCATCACCGTTTTCCAGCAGCCTTTCCTCACTTCCTGTTTCTGTGTCAAAATTTGGTAATTTTCAAAATATTTCAAACTTTTTCATTATTATGATATATGTTATGGCGATCTGTGATCAGTGATCTTTGATATTACTTTTGCAAAACGATTATGACTCACTGAAGGCTCAGAAGATTAAAATTTTTAGTATTTTTTCAATAAGCATGTTTAAATTAAGGTATGTACTTTTTTTAGACATAATGCTATTGCACACTTACACTACAGTAATAGTGTAAACAAAACTTTTATACACACTAGGAAACCAAAAGATTCCTTTAACTCACTTTGTTGCAGTATTCACTTTATTGCAGTAGTGTGGAACCAAACCTGAAATACCTTCAAAGCTTGTGTTCATTTGATAAATGAACTTAATGCTCACCATAGAGATTTGTGAAATATTTTATTACAGTATGACAACTTATTTTGAGGAAGTAATCTTCTAAATATCTTACCTGGTTTCCAAGATGGTATACATGGGCAATAATGAAAATTTACCAAATGAAAATGATGAAGCTAGAATATATGCTATATATGTGTGTGTGTGTGTGTGTGTGAGTATATATATATATATACACTCTCTGTGCACACGCTCATATATATATATACTCTCCAAATACTGAGGCACTGCAAATATGACCACTATGTGACTAGAGTGCACACTTGTTTGCTTGTTTGTTTTGTTAACCATCATCAATCCCCTCTTATTCCAGTAATAGCATCACAACTCTGCATTTGAGGAATGTTTCTGTACCACCACCACAACCCTGACTGTTCATAGGTCTCAGTAAGATTTCTTCCTAGTTTCAGGATGAGGCATTTGGCTTAGGAGAAATCAATCAAACCACAAAGCATGATATCACCCTGGACAGAGTAGTTACTTCAGGGATGGTCATGTGACCCACCTGGAACCAGTGAGATGCAATGAGAGTTTTTTTGTGTCTTTGTTCCTATTAGATTTGTCTGGGAGGTTGGGAGGCCAGATGCTATAGCATCTTACTACAATAAAGAAAGAAAACCTATCACCATGGAAGTCAGAGCTATAGGATACAGTATAACTAGGTGCTGGTAACATTAGTTGGGCTTCTGAATCATTCCATGCCTAAAGCCAGCCTTAGACAATAAACCTTGACAATAAACTCCCATGTTCCTTTCCTTCTTTCCTTCTTTCCTTCTTTCTTTCTTTCTTTCTTTCTTTCTTTCTTTCTTTCTTTCTTTCTTTCTTTCTTTCTTTCTTTCTTTCTTTTCTTTTCTTTCTTTCTTTCTTTCTTTCTTTCTTTCTTTCTTTCTTTCTTTCTTTTTCTTTCTTTCTTAAGCCATTTTGGGTCATTCTTTTGCTTTTATAACAAAAAAACTTACTAGGATGACAAAAAAATCTTTTTGGCTGTATCTTCTTCTTGCTCATTTCAAATAAATACATTTTCTAATGAAAATGGTAAAGCTAGAAAATATGCAAAAATTTGTATTGATTTAATAATTATGACTATTTCTGATTATAATTGGTGCCACTGCTTGATTTTTATTTAGTTCTTATTTTAGGCTTTAATTGCACAAACAGGTGTTTTATTTTTGTGTTTTTTGTTTATGAATGAGTAAAGCTCACAGATTTTTGGTGTCTGAGTTTGAATCCTGCCTATATGATCTTAGCTTTTCCTAACCTCAGTGTACTTCCTTTCTTTGGTTTTCAAATAAGGATCACAAAAGTGTTTATATGATAGGGTTGCAGGAGAATGAAATGATACAGTGCATGCAGACTCAGCCTAGTCAGTGACTGGCACATAGTACACCCTCAGATCTTAACTATGTTAATTAATCTAAGGACTGGCATTTAGTATCCCACTGGCTTTCAGGTTTTTTTTTTTCCTGGTCACTTTTCAGTCACTTGAATTAGAGATAATATAAGATTGATGTACCATCAGTTTAATTTTATTTCTAGGGAAAGTTAACTTGGATAGCACAAAAGCTATCTCTTTGTTGAAATAGCAAAGCTCTTTAATGGATTTCAGATACTCTAGGGTAGGTCTAATGTTAAATTCCATGTGTGTAAGACTTTCATTAATGTAATTGATGTTTTATGAAGTTTTATTTTTAATGCTTCATTATTTACTTTCTTTTTACTTTTAATTTGAATTGTTTGTATCTATTCAATGACTTCTGGGTTAGCAAATTAAAAGCATGAACAGAAGAATTATCGGTTAACAAAATTAATAATTGAAACAGCAAAGTCTTAACGTTCTATTCTAAAAGCCTGTAGATCAGAGCTCCAGAGCTTTGGGCTGCTTCAAAAATGCCTGTGTGTGTACACTGAGAGGTTTCTCTTCACAGTTCCTCCGCCCTCTACTGGTAGTTATAGTAATGCCATTTTGTAGTCCCCGCACAGGAAATGCCTGTTCTTACTTCAGCTACCAGAATCCTTTTACAGGAAGTTAGGTGTGGTCTTTGAAGGAGAATTAAAAAAAAAAAAAAGGATAAAAAGAAAAAAAGCATGATGGAATTTTAGCTGCAGTCTTCTTGGTGCCAGCTTATCAATCCTAAACTCTTGGTGTAAAAGATTCTGCAGGGGTAATGTTTTAATATTCTTATTATGCTTATTCTCTGTGATGCTTCTCTACCTTTACAGTAAAAATCCTTGGGGGAATCTGCAGAGGACCACTTTCATTTTGAAGCTGCTGGCTGCATGTTTTAGCATGTCTCTTCTGTTAGAGCATCCAGGCATGGCAGGTCCCTCCCTGAAGTGTACAGGGACCTTCTTCATGCATATGCCTGTCGCTAGGCATAAGGGTCTCTGGGGATGGGTAAGGAAAATGAGGGATGTTTTGGTGGTACTGTGATACTGAGAGGGCAGTCTGCTAGCTGGTGGCTGAAAGGTCCTGGTCTACTTCAGAAAAAAAAATGGAAATGGTGCAGTAACTTATGTTATTTTAAATTTCCCTGTTTGATTTGGCATATGCTGCAGAAATGCTCTAGATATGAATGAATTTTACTCTTAGAAAATGCACTTCCTATAATTAAATGGTAATTCTCATTCCTGTAGGGTAGGGGTTAAAATGGATTGTTATTTTAAAAAGAAGGAAAAATAAATAAGTGATTGTACACAGATGGCATTCAGGAGTCAAGATTTTAGTAGTATTATTTCAAAAAGCATAGAGACTCCTGCCACTAGTTCAGAGATAACATTTGGAATAACTGGTGTGCTCTGTTGAGTTATATATGTTAGTCCAGTAAAATATGATTAGAATACAGTAAGACTCCATTTATGTTATCACAAAGACCAACATAATTGGAGTTCACTTAAAAGATAAACTATCTTAAACTTAGATAATTTTTTCCAAGTCCAAATCTACTTGGTGATTTTTAAGAAATGGGCACTATTTGAGAAAATGAGCTATCTCTACAGTATTTCCTAAGATACTGAAAATTTGTTAATTTAAGAAGCAATTACACTAGCTAGCAGCAGGTTACTAAACCAGGGGGTCCAAGCTCCAGACCTCTGACGTGGGTGACTTCCTGCCTGGTTTGGCAGGAGCTGGATCCCTTCCTGTGCAGCTTCCAAGCAGTTCCAAACGCAATCGGGCATCCCCTGCTCCTTCCCGCTCCCTTGCTTTCAGGCAGTATCTACCTATCTTTCCACAGCCTGGCATTTTAGGATTTCCAGAGCTCTTTACCAGGTGCGTTGATTCTGAATAAGCTCTTAAAGGTGGAAAAGTAGGCCAAAGGGAACATGGAAAAAAATGGAGAGGTACATGCAAGAGCCTCACACAGCCCAGATTCTACAATTTTGGGTGATTATTCATCTCTTGTTATGGATCTCTGATATATTTTCAGAGAGGATGCTGAAAAAGATGGCTGCCAAAATATTCACACAAGTGAAAGAGCAAGCACAAACCAGTATCCTCTATTTCTGAGCTTTGAATTGGATATTTTCACTTAAAACATTTTGGGAGTGGGAGATTAGATTACCTCATAGACACCTACTGAATGTGAAAGATAGATCTCCATGCAAGCAGATGAATGCATGCATGAGAATCCCCTGAACGCCAAGTGCAGCTTCCTTAGTAAAATATTGCAGATAGCTTGGTTTATATATTTTATCTCAATACCATGTAATTGCCACAGTCACCTTTTATCCTAATGACCACTGCTTTTTTTTTCTCTGTTTCTCTCTTTTTTCCATAGCACTTTCTTACGCAAGGAGCTAAACAGTGATTAAAGGAGCAGGATGAAAAGATGGCACAGTCAGTGCTGGTACCGCCAGGACCTGACAGCTTCCGCTTCTTTACCCGGGAATCCCTTGCTGCTATTGAACAACGCATTGCAGAAGAGAAAGCTAAGAGACCCAAACAGGAGCGCAAAGATGAGGATGATGAGAATGGCCCAAAGCCAAATAGTGACTTGGAAGCAGGAAAATCCCTTCCATTTATTTATGGAGACATCCCTCCAGAGATGGTGTCAGAGCCGTTGGAGGACCTGGACCCGTACTATATCAATAAGAAAGTGAGTACTTAGTCAAGTTGCCTTTACTTCCCCTACGTCCTAATTAGTCCCTGGCTAGTCCCAGGGATGTCTGGTGAAGAATATTGTGCCTCCTTCTCTCTGTCTGAAGTATCACTAGGGCACTGGATGGGCTTAACCATGTAATGGCCTTGTTATCCTAGAAATCTTTTGGAAGCACCCATTTGAACCCATGTCTGGGACAGGCAGAGAACTGAAAGGCATTCTGCAGTTGGGGAAATGAGAAAGGGCAAAAATCTATTCCCCTTACAGTGTGGGGAAGCAAAAAGTGAAGATGAAGAGACTGTTCTTTACGCATTAAAAAAATTATTTCCATGAGTAGTGTCCAAATTCCTCTTTCCAATATCCAGCTCTACCTAAGGTACTTTTATCTTCAGTAGGTTTATTCCTTCATACCATAAACTCTGCCCATTCCATGGCTCTTCTCCGAAAGAAATAAAAGCGGATGAGTTTTAAGTGCCTAAAAAAGAATTTGGTCAAACAACATGTCTGGAAAACCCTGAAGTTCTTGTGAGAAGATTTTTATCTAACTGAAGTAGTCAGAGTCTCATTTTTAAGGTCTTTGTGAATTATAAATACAGCTTTAAAATACTGATATTAAAGCTTGATAAAGATGCTAAGAATTCCTATGGCACTGACTACAAATTTTCTTTATTTTGTTGTTTAAATACTCATGTCACTTAGTAAATTTAGGAGAGTTTATAGCGCTCAGAAAGAAAGCACATAGCATCATGTCATACATTGGCAATTAGTATATTATATTATTTTATATTATTTTATAAGGCATTATTTCTAAAAAATGGTCTCACTTTTCTCTTAAAATGTTCTTAATTCTTAATTTTAATAATAATTCTGTCTAATGTGTTTGTTTTCTTTTTCAGACATTCATAGTATTGAATAAAGGGAAAGCAATCTCTCGATTCAGTGCCACCCCTGCCCTATACATTTTAACTCCCTTCAACCCTATTAGAAAATTAGCTATTAAGATTTTGGTACATTCATATCCTTTTTCAAATAGTCACTAATATGATTTTGCTCTTTGGCTGACTTATTGAGTTGGGAATTTTTCAAAAATATATGTACTTGGCAATGTTATGAGCTTTTTTCCCTCCTCTTACTCAACAGTTAGCACATTGCAAAATGGAATCATAGGTAAGTGAACCACTTTTCCCCATCTTCTGAGTATTTCTTCTCTATCTGACTCATTACTCCTTTCTTTCTTCTTTCCTCCTCTGCTTCCTTCTGAATTGCCTGCTACATCCAAGATTTCTCCATTAATTTTGATAATATCACCAGGCTCTCCTTTTAGAAGTCTTCAAATTTTACAATGTTATATAATGGGTAAACTCCATGAGCTAATTTTCTTTACTACTTTTATATTTGGAAAATATATGCATAATTTGAATTACACAATTTTATATCTTTTTGGTCTGAAGTTTACTCCTTTCTGCTTTTCATCTGAGTGTTTGAAAGCTTTGAGTTAACAGATGTTACAGTTATGACTGTATACACATTAGCCTTTCAAATATTTCTTCAAATTCTTTTCCCAGCAGCACACCCATTAATTTTCTATTTTCTTTTTCTTTCTTTTTTTGTCAGTTGTTCCTATCTTTTATTCAAGTCACAGGTCCTGCTACAATTATCTCTTTCCAAAGGCTTAATGTCTGTTTTTCCGTATACATCCTCATTTCATGCTTCATTATCCTTATGAAGTATCTACTTCCTTGAAATGGGACTGATGACACCTTGGTGGGATGTGGTAATTTGATTTACTTCTGGAAGTTAAATAGAGTAGTTGTGAATGAGAAGTTTTATTCCAGTCCATGGACAGTGGTTTGGCTGACAGCCAGCCCTGGAAAAACCAAGGAAGCAAAGGTTTGGAAGACTGGGGTTGTGCCAGGCAGGGGCATTTCTAAGAAGAGCACAGAAGCCTTGGGATAAGGGACTGATATGAATCAGAAACCAAAGGTAAGGAAGGGGAAACTGAAATTTAAACAAAGTCTCAGATAGGACAACTATAAATTTTGTTTTCCTAATTAGAAAGAGTCATTGCCTGCAATTTACAACATGGTCAGCCCAGGGCCTGGCTTTAAGGCTTACAATGTAAAAGCTTGCTCCCCCTAGCAAGCCCAGAAAATATTTGAATTGAATATGGTAGGGAATTAGATAAGATAAGGAATTCAAGAGATAGAATAAGCTTGGTACAGGGAACTCATCACAGTTCTGGGTGGAGGGGCTGTAAGGCATATTGCCAGACTTGGCTGGCAATGTGGCAAGTGATGTGTTTAGAAGCATGGCATTCTGGAATTTAGTTTCCTTTTAATCTTTAGGTCATTCTACTCTCGTCCCTCCTCAGTTCTGCATAAACATCAACATATTTTAATTTCATTTTGTTTTAAGATTTAATAATTTCTTGTGAATTATTTTAAGCAATAATGATTCCTTACTTCTGTTATTCAAGTAAGAAAACCCAAAAAAAATGTCTTAGAGTTAGCTTTAGGAATGAATAATAAAACTGAGATTTAGATTTGGGTCTCCTGAACTATAAATTATGATCCATTAGTCTGTTTGCGTATTTAAATCTGTGCACTGAATAAGTCTTTCCATTTATTATTCATTATATTTAAAAATAATTGTACATCCCATGTAAACACAATTTATATATGAAATTATGTGGAAAATTCAGAGTTAGCCCAACGCTTTGTGTGTAGTCAATACTGGGCGAGTATATATTGAATAAAAAGTGACGAATGAGACAGAGGTTGGAGAATCAGATACAAAACAAGTAACAAAATGGAAAGTTTGAATAGGTCAGAAAAATCTATTTTGTTTGGAATCTGAATGATAAGATAAAATTAAGAAAGCCTAATATTAAAGAAAAAGGCAGGTTTTTGTTTTGTTTTAAAACTTTTGTAGGGAGATAAGAGATAAACTCTGAGGACTGAGTTTATGGTGGGAGCTCCCTAGGAATCAAGATATAATTTGAATTTTAGGGTTTGTGCTTGCTTCCCAGAAAGAAAAAAAAACTTCCAGTGGTCAAAGTTGTTAAGAGGTCTGCAGTACAAGTTGAGATGGGAAGGCAGCCAGGTTTGCCAAACTAAACAATTGGCTCTCCTAGAAGCTTACAAAGGGCTTACAGCTACATATTTCTTCCGATGTAGAATAGATTTTTTAAAATCTCTGACTGCCTGAATTAAATTATATTTCAGGTATCGCACCTTGTAGTAGAAATATGAAAAAAGGCAGGTGGACTAATAGTCTAAGATAGACAGTTCTTCAGTCTATTGGTGATAATGCACATTTGACTGGAGATCCTAGTAAACTTTAATGTAAATAATACAGCTTGTAGAGGATTTCCCCAGTGATTTGGTCTTATTTCTCATAATGCAAATCTTAGGCTCAAGTCACGGTTTTCTGACTTCAAGCACAGTGCCTTTTGCTATAAGTTTAAAATGCTTGGAGTTAGTAAAGGTGGGCTTTGGACACAGTTAAGGGGTCATTGTGTATTTATTATCATTAGTTTATAATCATGAAAATGGCCATTCACAATAAAGAAATTTGTATTTTAACTCTAGACTGGTATCTCTATTTGCAACTAAAATCCTGACTTGTTTCTTAAAAAGCTATTATATTCATTAGGAGCTGTTGCATATCAAATTAGCTTTGTTCCTTGATTTTGGCAGAAAAATCTTATGCTTACTATATTTTCGCCAGGGTATATTTTGAAAACTGAAAATGCTTTTGATGTGCCTACGATCTTGTTTTGATAGTTAAATAAAATATGGTTATATTTTCTGATGGTAAAAAAGTCAAAAATAGTCCATATTCCTAAAATTCCCTATTAGAATTTTAAATGTGTTGCATGTCAGCTTTTATTATTTTAGATTAATATACACTCTCCTGTATTTTGCATTTGTTATTCATTCACTTGTTCATTTGCAGATGTTTATTGAGTACCTACTGTGTGGCAGACATTCTTCTAGACACTGGAATACAACGTTGTGCCAAACATAGTCCCTACTCTCATGTAGTTACATCCATGTGTATGTGTGTGTTTGAGAGGAGAAAATAATAAAAATAAATCAGCTAGTGTCAGCTATTGATAAGGGCTATTAAGAAAAATAGAACAGTGTAAAAAAAGAAGTGTGGCAATGTACTGTTTTAGATCATATAATCAGGGAAGTCCTCTCTGAAAAGAAAGCGTTTGAGTAGAGTTCCAAAGGAAGTGAGGGAGTGAGACATAGAAAGGAAAAAGGGGAGTAGCAACTGTGAAGGCAAAGTATGAAGTGGAAGTATGTTCAAGAATCAGCAAGGAACCCAGAGGAGAAGTGGAAAAGGCAGGGAGTAGGAGGGGATGAGGTCAGTGAGAGCAGAGGTCAGGACTGAAGTTGTAGGCCATGGTGAGGACACCAAGTTTACACTGAATGAGATGGGGAGAGATGACTGAAGGGTTTTCAGCACAAGAATGTCATCACCTGGCTCAAATCTATAAAAGATCACTCTGGCTGCTGGGTAGAGAATAGACTGACTGGGGGCAAACGGTGGAAGCAAGAAGATAGATTGGGGACTTACTGCCATTATTAAGGCAGGGGACTATGGTGGAAACAATAAGGGTACAAATATCATCAAATTTAGATGTGTTTTTCAGAACTGCTGACAGGATGTTCTGAGCAATTGGATGTGGGGTGTGAGGGAATGAACAGAGCTAAGGATGACTCCAAGGGTTTAGTCTGGTCAAGAAAGAAAAATGTAGTTGCTTGAGCTTGGGACAACTTCAGGTGCAGTGATATACTGGGTAAAATCAAGAGCTTGGATTTGGGGGAGAGTATAGCTCAGTGGTAGAGTGGGTGATCAGCATACACGAGGTCCTGGGTTCAGTCCCCAGCACCTCCATTAAAAAATAAATACATAAATAAGCCTAATTACCTCTCCTCCTAAATAAATAAATAAATAAATAAATACCACTTTAAAAAATAAAAAGAAGAGTTTAAACTTGAGCATACTTTTTTGAAGTGACTATTAGTCAGTGGAGGAATTGAAGAGTTAAATGTAATGCAAGTTTAGAGTTCAGAAAAGAGTTGGGCTAGAGGTATAACTTTGAGAGATGTTAGTGTACAGATTGTATTTAAAGCGATGGCAAAGATCTGAAACACTCCAAATCACACAATAATGCAGAACTGCCTATCATTCACACAGAGTAGGAAAATATAAAAACAGCTTTTGGTGTCAGGAAACGATTTCAAACACCACCTCTGAGATCTACTTTCTGGCTGTATGACCTTGGGCCAAGTTACTCCAACTTTTTGAATCTCAGTTTCTCCATCTATAAAACTGCAATCATAATTTACAAATCAGTAATAATAAATATATGTAACTACCTGACACCATAACTAGCACTTAGTAGGAACTTAATAAATGTTAGCTAAGACAGCTATTGTTGGCAGTAGTAGTTATAATTCTAGCAGCAGCTGCTGCTGTGAGATTAGCAAAGGAAAGCTCTCATATTGTTTAAGGAATTCCACAAAGAAGTCTTACAAATCACTACTTTCTTGAGGCTTGATTTTGCAAACAGAATGCTTATACAGCACTAGAGTTAGGAGCTGTTAAATGACGGAAGCATAATGTGGTCAGTCCCAACCTTCTCAATTTGTGATGAGTTCTTTGAAGTCCAGACATGTTTAGTCTTTCTCTAAGGCTACATTTTATTTAAGTGGCAGAGCTAAAACTTCAGACTAGGTTTTTGATTCTCAGCTCAATATGCTTTGCAATTTCCACCTAACAGAAGAAAACTGATTTTTAAACCCTCAGATATAAATAATGTACTAGGGCATTACCAATATCTGTCTGTGCATTTCAAAGGTTATTTCCAGTGGTGCAAATTTACTAATTCATTAAATAAGAAGTGAGCTTATCCCCAAATTATATGATATATGTAGAAATCAAAAACATCATGGTTTTCCATGCAAGAATTATATAGATCTGTGGGAAAGGAGGGTAAACAACTTACGATTTCTATTTCTCCTGCTTCCAATGCTCAAAAGTTATCACATATTATGACATAGTTAGGAGTTTGTTAATAACAAAATTAAACAACTCAAGAGTTAACTCTCTCTCTATATATATATGTATGTATGTATATGACATTTAGTCAATATTTCTGCTGTCTCACACATATGCATCAATGTGTAAAAAGAGGCCTATCTACTTTGCTTTGAATTCTCTGTTTTTATGTTAGAAAACATCTTACATAAGACTATATTCTACCTCTAGTTCATATACATATTTAGTTAAAATTTTCTCTGCAACTTCTCTGAAAATTATATATTATTACAAAGTCCTTGAACAGAACAAACAATGGCTTTCCCTTTCTTAAGAATAATGAAGAAATGCCCTACATTTTTATAATTAATAAATGATTAATAGTAATAAAAATAACTGTATCCTCTAAGGAAAGTATTAATAGTATTATCTTCATTTACATAAGAAAACTGAGCCTTAAAGAATTAACTTGCTGAAGCCCAAGGTGCTATTGTGCAACGGTTTTACTGAAAATAACTTTTAATCTGAGTACTAGAGAAAAAGTATGAGTTGGCTAAAGTGAAGTAGAGAGCATTTCCTGGAAAAAGAATTGATATTTGTGAGGACCTTGACTTGAGGAAGAACATGTTTCATTTCATGACCTAAAACAATTATAATAATATTGGACTGGGAGAGTGGAATGAAGAGTAAAGAAGATGAAATTGGACAAGTAGACAGGAGTTAGATCTCCTAAATTCTTCACTCTTTGTTAAGATATTTGATCATCATCCCAGGAGTAAAGGAAAGTTATTGAAATGGTCCAAATTACATTTACAAAGATCATTTTGGTACAGTGTGAAAAAAATTGAAAGGAACCAGACATGGATTTAGAAAGGCCAGTTTGAATGAAATTGCTGTAATCTAGGTTAGATTTGATGGACACTTGGACAATGTAGTGACATGAGGATTGGAAAAGAAAGTGCACTGAGTCTAGGGATAGCAGGTAGAATTGACAGTATTTGGTGTTGAGTTGATTGTGGAGGTTTAGGGAAGAGAAAAATGTGAGATTGCTCCTAGGTTCCTGGCTGGATCATGAGACATTTTCTGTGATACAGAGATGCTCAAAGGAGCAGTATTTGAGGGGAGCAGAGAGATAAGATGAAAATATTTTTAGTTTAGTTTTAGAATACAAAAAAATTTGAGGTGTTGATGAGATAAGTATACATAAGTGCAGATATAATATGGACAATTGGGTGTGTGGAGTTCAGAAGAGAGGTCTAGCCTCTCTTGATTCTCAAGAAATACTTGAGATCAGTGGATATGTAAATGGTACTTGGAGCTGTTTGTTGATGAGCTCTACTCAGATAAATATAGCAGAAGAGGGGGAAATGGCTTGGATATCCTATGCCCTTCTTTTAAAAAAGGGAAATATTTCAAAGGATACCAAAAAAGTGTTGCCCTGAGGCATGAAAAATCAAAGGATTGGGACCTCAAGAACACAAAAGTAAGAGAGTATAATGAAAGGGAGAAGAATAATTGTTTGTCAAATGCTGCTGAGAGAGCATACCAAATAAGAACTCAAAATTATCCTTCTGTTTTTAGTGAACATGAAGATGTTTGTCATATTCTAGAAAGAAAACTGGTTGGCTGAGAATGTGAGAGAAAAATGAGGGAAAGTAAAGAAAAACATCTTTCAAGAAGTTTGACTGTGAAATGGAAAAGAAAAGTGGAGCTGTGAGTAGTTACAAGATTGTGGATTACAGGAAAGTATTCTCTTTTATTTCCTCCAAGATAAGAGAGGCTTAAGCAAGTTTGTGTTGATAGGGAAACGTGGATTGACTGGGAGTTACTGAAGATGAGAGAAGGAAGAGAGAAGAGATTTCTGAAGTGTTCTGGACCAGTGGGAGGTGTCCAGAGTATGGGTAGAGGGATTGAAAACTACCCCCGTTGAAACAGGAAGGAAAGGATCCCAGCACAGAAAGGTTTGTCAGTTTGGGAGTGAGAAGTAAAGATGTGGCAGTCTGATGCTATCTCTTCTCTCAGTGAAGTAGGAAATAAGGTCATCAGTTTGAAATGGGGAAGGAAGGAAGGAGGAGATGAGATGAGAGTTGGAAATATTTGAAATTATCTTTGCAGAGTAGGAAGTACAGTGAAGTGGAGAAATTTAAGACTGTGCATGTTTGAGGCTGGGAACCTTGTATTTTGAATGGTGCCACTCTGCCATGGGGAGTTACAGGGCCTAGCAGGCTAACAGACACAGACACAGAGGATCTTCTAGCTTTATATACTAATAGAAAGTCATCTTTAATTTTATCTTATTTTGTGTTTGTGTCTAGCAATAAAGGAAAAACATGTGTTTCTTCTTTGAAATGGTGTTTTTCTGTGTTCTCTAGGTTGTAGTGCCCTCACGTGGCTGATCCACATCATTCACTTATGACTTTTCATGTGAATGCATTTGAACAAGCTGAGAATTAAGCATATGCCTTAAATCACTGCTAGTCAAAATGAAAAATCAATGATTGCTTTGACTAAAGTCAGCTGTAGGTGCAAATAAATTTCCTCTATAGATTAACACAACGTTGGCTATTCACTGTTGTATTTTACTGCACTTAAAATCATGCTGATATTTTGTTATGTGTAAGTAATGTGAAGATTTATAATAAAAATAAAGAGCAAGATGGTATATTAATAGCATTTATTCACTGTAATTTTTATTGTTTCTAAATCCAGATTGATAAAGGCTCTTGTTTTGCAATAACTACAATGAATCCTTTTTGCGATTTTTATTAAACATGAAAGAAAATTATTTCAACTATCCGACTATTGAATGCTTTCTTAAAGAGTTTTTGTTGCTGTTTTTCAACATAAAAGAGAGTGAAGGGCATTGACTACGTCTGCAAAGGCAAAGTGGTATAAAGTGAAACAAACCACATGTTGGTTTTAAGTAGTGTCCTCTCTGATTCAGGAAATTAGAAAAGCAATTTATTGAGTATCTACCATGTACAAGGCACATTAAATTGTAGTAGCTGTAACATATTTTAACTAATTTGATCCTGAAAGAAATCCTGTGAAAATGGTATTTTCTCATTTTTATAACAAAGTGAACCAAGGCTTAGGGAAATTAATAAGTAATTGGGCCACAGTTACAATCCCAAGAAATGCCAGTACTAACACCAGCCATCTTATCTTTCTATTCAGAATTTAATGAGCAATTGAACTGTATATTATATATTCCACTTAGAATCTTACTGAAGATGTTCCACCTAAGAAACCCTTAGGATGGAGTTATAACACATTCAATTACAGTCAGCTCTTCAAATACAGGGGTTTTATATCCACAGGTTCTGCACCCGCAGATTCAGTCAGCAGTAGACGTTGTACAATGTTCAGAATCCGTGGTTGGTTGAATCGAGGATGTAAAACCTACAGCTATAGAGGGCCCTGTGGGCCCTGAGCATCCACAAATTTTGGTATCCGCTGAGTCCTGGAACCAATCTCCCACGGATACTGAGAGACGGTTGAATTCTCTTGTTCAGTTTTTGTCAGGTGTTTCATACATGCTGAGCTTACACGTTAGTCACCGTGTCAAAAAAAAAAAAAAACCTTAAATCAATAAATTACTTACAGGTGAACTAATTTCTTTGCATTTAATGTTTTTTATGACTAAAAACACATAAATAGCATCAAAATAGTTGATGGTTTGGCCTGACATGGCTTGGATATGAATTTGTTAAAATTACAGAAATGGAAAAAGCAAACTCAATAATAAAATAATAGGAGCATAAAACTGCTAACTTCATGGTGGTGAAAGATATGATGGTGTATGAAAGTGAAATTTTCCAGTGAACTTTGTTTTCCTTGACGATATTCTTCTACTTTATTCAATGTGCTCATTATGTGCACTATTCTTACCAACTGTGTGTTTATGACCATGAGTAACCCTCCAGACTGGACAAAGAATGTGGAGTAAGTAGAAGATTTTTAAAAAGTCATTCAATATTGTTGTCCATTTATCTTTCATATTGTGCGTCTAACATCTTGCAACCTCATCAGGGTTTCTTTAGCAAATCATACTAGCTACTTCATACCATTTAGACAATGATTCAAGTTCATTTTAACCACTAATTTTCTGTAGGACAAAGCTTGCACTGGCTCATTCAGTTGCTCAAAGTACTGCACTGATTTGACTGCAGTACTTGTGGTCCTTTATCTTCCTTTTGAGTCTGAATACTCTTTTGAAGATCATCAGTGATTGCTAATGCATGATGATAAAAATTATACCTAGTTTTCATGTTCTTTTCCTCATGACTATCACCTTTCTATGTTTTATTAGTAATGTATATCATGGCTCTTAAAGATGCATATTTTATTAAATAAAAATCCTTCATTTATTTTTGTATTAATAACTATTGGCTTAAATCAGACCAAAAGCCAGTGTATTTCAGATAGTATCTTCATATAAAACCATATTATTTGGGTCTTCAAATTAATTAATGTAGCAAGTACAATACTCATTTAGTTACAGTCAATGAGAATGTCTCTCAGAATGTAATGTTTCTTTTTTCCTTAAACTCTACCTAAGCTCCACATCATAGAGAGACTGATATAGAACAATATGGAAGCCTTTAATTTGTATTTGTTGTTTAAGTCTCCTTTAAGATATGTACATGTAAATTACCTACTAGATCTTTAATGTGGGCTTGGCTATTTTCTCTCAGGTACACCTTTACAGGAATTTATACTTTTGAATCACTTATAAAAATACTTGCAAGGGGATTTTGTTTAGAAGATTTCACATTTCTACGAGATCCATGGAATTGGTTGGATTTCACTGTCATTACTTTTGCGTAAGTATCTTAGTACATTTTCTATCTGGGAAGAGTAAATTATTGGCGGGTGCCAACACTATATTTCTCCTTGGTGGCTTCCCTTAACAGATCAAGCATTTTTCTTAGTTATCATGTGAATTTAGGATATTTTTCTTCCAATCAAATTATGCACTTTGGAGAAATTAAGGACTATCATAGTAAATTATATGGCTTTGATTTCTGTTAGAGCTGTAAAGCAATAAAATAAGTTTCTCAAGTCATAGAGATTATGATTGATGATAATGCCATTTTTCTCTTAATTGGGAAATCTGATGGCAACACTCTTTGAAGTTGAAAAGGTCTTGATAAAAGACCGACTTAGATTTCCCTAAATTCTGAATAACTCTGATTTAATTCTACAGGTATGTAACAGAATTTGTAAACCTAGGCAATGTTTCAGCTCTTCGAACTTTCAGAGTCTTGAGAGCTTTGAAAACTATTTCTGTAATTCCAGGTAAGAAGAAACTGGTATAAGGTGGTAGGCCCCTTATATCTCCAACTGTTTCTTGTGTTCTGTTATTGTGTTTGTGTGTGAACTCCCTATTACAGATATGTGACAGAGTTTGTGGACCTGGGCAATGTCTCAGCGTTGAGAACGTTCAGAGTTCTCCGAGCATTGAAAACAATTTCAGTCATTCCAGGTGAGAGCTAGGTTAAACACCGAGGCTGAGTTTAGCAGCATTGGTGCTACAATCACAGCTTTTGTGTGTAAGCCTTGTTGCTTGTCACCTATTGCAAAAAAATTTGTGAAAAAGAAAGAATCAGTACATCATATTTTGGATGGATTTGATTCTTTGTTTTTACTAGTTGCTTTCTTTAAAATTAATTGTTCTAAATCAGCCTTTGAGTTTAACAAGTTTTTGCATGAGGCATTTGCAGTAACAGGCTACATGGTTTGCGTCCTGTAACATCAAGCTTTCTGCATAGAAGCTACACTATAAGGCATTCAAACTGAAGCAAATTTGACCAATTAGGTGTAAAACTGGTAATTTTCTTAACTGCAGGTAAATGAAAAAGCAAAAGATAGCATGGGTGCTGCATGGGGCTCAGTTTTCAGATGTCTTCCTTTTTTAACCCATACTCAAGCTTTCAGAATTCACAAAAATATAACCTCATAATTCAGTTACTTCAAGATTTCTTACTATTTTATTCATATAGATTTTTCTAAAATCAATAAGAGGTTAGGGAGTAAGACATCTGCAAATAAAAGCAAAATATTTACACAAGGTTAATGTTTAAGCATGAATAACAAAACCATTTCTTTTGCTCTAAGGAATATTTGGAAATACACTTTTGGTTTATTTCCATTCACAGTTTTCTAATGAACTTACAAATTCTGCTTTCATTCATTTTCACCAGCTAGCAGGCTTTTCATAAAAATGTTATCTAATCACAAACATTAAACTAATATTGTTGGCATTCTGCATGACATCTTTATTTTCCAGGACAAGCTCATGATGTTTTTGTCTGTAAAGTAGCTTTTGCATAATATATTTATATTCCTCCCCTTGATTTTATTTGTAGGTCTGAAGACCATTGTGGGGGCCCTAATTCAATCGGTGAAGAAGCTCTCAGACGTAATGATCCTGACTGTGTTCTGTCTGAGCGTGTTTGCCCTAATAGGATTACAGCTGTTTATGGGCAACCTGAGAAATAAATGTTTGCAGTGGCCCCCAGATAATTCTTCCTTGGAAATAAACATCACCTCCTTCTTTAATAACTCATTGGATGGGAATGGTACCACTTTCAATAGGACAGTGAGCATGTTTAACTGGGATGACTATATTGAAGATAAAAGTAAGATATACTCTTTCAACCATTAAGTTGTTTAGTCCTTTAAATATTAAAAAATATATATAAGGAAAATTGTCTCAAGTTTGATATGAACAAGATTACTTAGATCAATTTAAGATAACTTAATACATGTGATACAGAAATCAAATGATATCTTACTCACTTTTCCTTATCTGTCAGTCAACATAATAAAAGTTGCCATTTGGAAATGTTTTCTTTTCCAAAACCAGTGTTGAAAGCAGTACAATATAATGCTATATAAACAAAAATATTTATTTGGTAGGCATTAATCAGTTTTCAGTCATCTTAATAAATAAATCAGTAGTTTGAACTATTCAGTGCATTTTGCTGAAATGGATTGTTAAGAAGACTCAGGAAGAATAATCTGGCCCTATGTGCTTGACTCAGTATATGTACTGAGTGCATATGATATATTTGGAAATAGAAAAACCATTCACCAGGATGAAATCTGAATTGGTGTACTCATCAGAAAGTTAAGCAACCTCAATCTAGCAAGCCACTTATTGATAAGAAAGTGTAAACTCAAAACCTAACCCTGTAATATTCTTACTCTAGTTTATCTCTGTGGTACCAGTAATTGTGTGAGTTGTTTATCAGTATAGTTTGATTTTTATTGTAGAGATAGACATCAGAATATACTTATGTTGTACTTTACTATAATTTCTTATCATTGAAGCCAGCCCCTATCATTGGCATGTCCAAGTCCCTCCCTTTTTATGCACAATTAGCTAGCCAACTTCCACTGGTCTCTTGATTATCAGTACTCCACTGGGATACCTAGTCTGTGGTATCTGCTGTGGTTTTTAGAACCATATGAAATGTTATCACTTCTCACATTATATTAATGTTTTTTTAAATTGAAGTATAATCCATTTACAACGTTGTGTTGTTTCCATTGTACAGTATAGTGATTCAGTTATACATATATATGTATTTCCATATTTTTTCTTTATAGGCTGTTACAAAGTATTGAATATAGTTCCCTGTGCTTTACAGTAGGCCCTTGTTTACCTTACTAATGTTTTAAGAATTAGTGTTCTTATGAAGATTTATACTAGACAGATAAGATTCACTGGATAAATGAATAAATAAAACAAATGATTTCATTATTTATGGGGTTTCCAATACTTCAATATTATAAATTGACAGCACAATGGACAATCTTTGAACATAAATTTTTTTCTATTTCTGATTGTTTCATTCAGATATATTTTAATTAATAGAATTTTGGGGAATGAAAAGGTATGACCAATTTAAGGCTAGTGACACATACTATCAAATTGCTCTCCAGAGGGATCATACCACTGTATACCTGTGATAGCAATGGCCATCTTACTGGATTCACATTAATATTGACTATTATCATATTTTAAAATCTTTTAGTAGAGGAAAAGTGTATCCTCTTTAGTTATTAATGTGGTAGAATTTACAGTATTTTTATTAGTATCATTAGCAAGTTATATGTTTCTTATAATGTGAATTATTTGTTGATTTTTTTACCCATTATTCTATCAGGTGATATTATATTTTGGGAAATTCATAAGAACTCTTTAATTTACCAAGTATATTAACATTTTGTCTTTTATTGGCAAATGTATTCTCCAGCCTGTTTTTCTTCTTATTGTTTGTTTTTGATGCCTAAGTGATTTTGATTTTTAGGCAATTAAGTCATCAAATTTGTTTTCTTTTTTCCATATTTAAGTTTATATAATACTTCTCAATTCAGAGATAATAAAATTTTTCACATAGATATTCTACATATAAAACAGCCACCTATATATTCTAGATTAAAAAGAAAACCTATATATTCTTATATTATATGAATGGACTTGTCTGTAAGTCTTTAATCTTTAAACATCTATAATTTTTGATATATATTATGAGGTAAGGATCTAAAATTTTTTTGTAGAACTATGCCCCATATTGACCTATATAATATATTATGGTATTCCTTGAGTATAAATAAGCTTTAAATATTCTTGAAAACTATCATAAAATTTTTTGTGGAATATATATCTGTGTGTGTTTTAATGTGTATGTGTCTGTGTATTTTCGTATGTGAATATGCAAATATGTATGCTTATGCATATGTATGTTTCCTGAGATCATCTTTGTAACTTATTAAAGTTATATATATACAAGGTATTCCTTAAAAGTAAAAAACTAGGTATACTTAGAAAATATGTATCTCTAAAGAAGCAAGTTTATCTTGAAAGAAGTAATCAAGCCAAATATCAAAACAAAACAGTTATTTATACCATCATAGAAAGAACAAACACATAAGCCCACTTTCACAAGAAATTAAGTCAAAATTGGTAGGGCAAAAAAGTCTGAATCTATTTTGAGTACAGGCAAAACGTATTTGTAAAACAAAATGTTATTTCATGGCAGCATTTAAAAGCAACAAGGCTTTCCTTTCTCTCACTTTTTGTGCCAAGGAAACAGCTTTAATTTGGCAGCTCTTTTTTGAATTATCCCAAGCAATTTAAATTATTTACAAGAAATATTGATAGAAAATGCTACAATAGTTATTCCCTACAAAAAAAATCTCTTTTTACAACAGATTTCCTAAACATTTGTTTAATTCAAAATGGTTTAACATGTGTTTATTATTCAATTATTATTAAAATATTTTCATTTAGCCATGCACATATTTATTATTTTATTCAATTTCATTTTGGTTTTTTAAAATGTGAGCTTTATTCCCTAGACACAATGGCTGGAGTGTTTCAAGGGTTGTTTTGTTTGTTTTTTAATGATTCTTTCTATTCTTTGCTCTTTTATATAGGTCACTTTTATTTTTTGGAAGGGCAAAATGATGCTCTGCTTTGTGGCAACAGCTCAGATGCTGGGTAAGTGATGTTTGGTGTTGAGTCTCAGTCTGCACTGCTGCATCAGCCTCAGTAACCTGCCACTTCCCACCCACCCAGCCCCCGCTTGCTCCTCATTCAGAGCCCTGCATAAATTCCACTTCACGCTGGCTCTCAAAATAGCTGGGATAAGTGTGGATTCTCACCTCCTTCACACACTCATACCCAGCAATTATTTTTCCATACTAGGTCACAGCTAATCTTCCAAATTAGTTCAATGGAAAATAGAGAGAAATACATAAGAAGCTTAAGTTAATCGAATTCATAAGCATGTTCTTTTATAAGTGTGATATTCTATATAAGCTAATGTAGTTCCCATGGCATAAAGTGTAAGCTATCTGAAGATAATGTCAACATCCAAGGTGTAGTAAGTACACATCTAGCATATTTTAGCAAAGTGGTTAAGAGCGTAGACTAGAGAGTTTTACATGGATTCAAACTGGGACTCTACCATATAATGTCGTCTCTCCTTGCCTCGGTTTCCACACGAGATAAATGAGTATAATGACAGGATGGCTGTGAGAATTAAATGGATTAATGAAATGTATAGCTATTATAGCACTAAATAAATGCTTTTAATTATTATGATTGGCGTCATGTGAATGCTTATTATTAAAAAGCATTGTACCTGGAGCTAAAGCTAGGAGGAAAATTCAGAGAAATAGTTACCTTTTTCCATTCAACGAGACTTTAGAATCATAAACAAGAGTAATGTTCTTTCTGTGGAAGATGATATTGTGGACATTAGTAACTAATACCCGCCGCAAAATTCCCAGTAGTAACAGGCTTTGCATTTGGCTCATATGTTAAAGATTGGGCTGCCATTATCTTCAGATCTTAGTGATAAGTAAAACAGACTGATTTTAACCCCTTGTCTGTATTGTACTAAATGCTTTACGTATGGTATCTTATTCAATGCTTGTAAGTTTGGGAGGCAGATTCTGTTATTAGCCCTTTCTTACATACAAGGTGTTCCAAGACTAGCAAGGTTGAGAAACTTGCCCGGAATTATGAAGTCCAGAAGTGTCAGACACAATACTGAGGCAAGGTCAGCTCAATCATTAAGGTTACACTATGAAATCTTTATTCTGCAGACTAATTCATTCCTCTCAGTGTGCCACCACCCATTCTTTCTTCACCCCTCTTCCCTCCCACCACATTAAGCACACTTCTGCCTCTAGACGTCTTCAGTGAAAATCTATAATTTTTCCCTGTAGACTTATTTTTCTGTTCATGTCCACAAATCCCAGAAGATGGTAATCATAATATGATTGCTTTTATATGAGATGTGATAAATATAATAACAACAGCCAGGACTCACAGAGGAATCCATAAATAGATTTAGAAGATTGTGTTGTTATGTAAATCAGTCTGCTCGGTACTGGATTGAGCACTGGGTAAAGTGAGAGAAATCTGCTTTCCCTGATGTCATATAAAATAGACATTGATGTCTATAAAAACGGGAAAGCCAGCTGTCAAACTTGCAGTTACTGACTTCTTCTCTTTCCTTTAACTTAATCATAGCCAGTGTCCAGAAGGATACATCTGTGTGAAGGCTGGTCGAAACCCCAACTATGGCTACACAAGCTTCGACACCTTTAGCTGGGCTTTCTTGTCCCTATTTCGTCTCATGACTCAAGACTTCTGGGAAAACCTTTATCAACTGGTGAGAACAGATAAAATGATTCTTCTGGAAAGCACGAAATACTGAGATAGAATTGCTGTAAAATACTTTATTACTTAGAGTGTGAGCATGTAACATCCTATATAAAATTTAATAAAATATCTCTTCCACTTTTGCAGACACTACGTGCTGCTGGGAAAACATACATGATATTTTTTGTGCTGGTCATTTTCTTGGGCTCATTCTACCTTATAAATTTAATCCTGGCTGTGGTGGCCATGGCCTATGAGGAACAGAATCAAGCAACGCTGGAAGAGGCTGAACAGAAGGAAGCTGAATTTCAGCAGATGCTGGAACAATTAAAAAAGCAACAAGAAGAAGCTCAGGTATAGTAAGCAAGCATTGAGCCCTTTTGTGTTTGTTTATCTCAATTCTCTGACCACGCCATCAAGATCAGAGGCATTTAGCATACAAAATCAGCAGTGGTAATTGACAATTGAAACATGTCATGTGTGTTTGGTAAGTGTTAGGAACCTATTTGGTTATTAGGAGATTATTATTTTGTTTTGATGATTACTTGCTGTCAATAATAATGGCATCCAAACATGGAGAATTATAATTGCTTTATTGACATTTTTCTTCCTTGTGACCCCTGATTCACTCAAGCTTACAAAGTAGTTAGGTCTACATGCCTTCAATCAAAGTATTTTAATCTCTTGGGTTGCTTCTTCATTAGTGCTACTAGAGGTGGGAAATGTCAGAAAACCAGAGTCGAAATGAGATTATTTCAGAGAGTCTGGAAAGATAAAGACCTATTTAGTATTTATTTTCTATTTGAAGAGTGTTTAAATGCAAGTTTGTGGTTTGCATAAAGAAAACACTGGTACATAAACATGTGAAATCATTACATTCTTTGCCTACTACCCTGTAAATTCTATAATACAGCCTACACTCAGCTTTTCTTGGGTATAGAGTACAGTTCCTTTTTAACACTGAGTATCCTAAATATGTAATAAAGATCAGATAAATAAAATATACTGGGGTAGCAGCAATAATATTGAAAACGTTATCTTTCCAACAACAGTGCTATTGTAATTTACAAATTCACTTAGATGACATGATCTGGGATTTTCTTATTTACAATCTATAATATGTTTTTATTGTGCATTTCTTAGTGAAATAACCATTTTAAGTCAAAGAGAAGAAAAGTTTATTAAAACAAAATTCTTGACTGAATTAAATTTAATCATTTAGAGTGACACTAAAAGTCACTGTCAAGTGGAAGTGTGATGGGTCAAGTTGAAATAGGAAACCTTTATTTCTTAAATTCTTTCTTTCTCATGATACTTTAAATCACAGGAAAAATCATTATGATATTTGAGTGTCTTGTTCATATTATTAGATAATTAGAAAGCATAGTGTGAGGCCACAGCTTGAAGATTTTCATCAAAGTCACATATCATCTTCCACTTTTCTGTTAATTTTAATTCTTTAATTGGCCTAATGACAATGCATTATTTTCCAAAATACATACTTGAGTGGAGAATAATTTTTCAAGATCACATATTCACGATACCAAAGATAAATTAAGCAGAAACATGGATAGCGTTTGTCAAAGTTTATAGACAGCTACCATTTCCCTTGGACCCTTCTAGGCAGCAGCTGCAGCAGCATCTGCTGAATCAAGAGACTTCAGTGGTGCTGGTGGGATTGGGGTTTTCTCAGAGAGTTCTTCAGTAGCATCAAAGTTGAGCTCGAAGAGTGAAAAAGAGCTGAAAAACAGAAGGAAGAAAAAGAAACAGAAAGAACAGTCTGGAGAAGAAGAGAAGGAAGATGGGGTCCACAAATCTGAATCTGAAGACAGCATAAGAAGAAAAGGTTTCCGGTTTTCCTTAGAAGGAAGCAGGCTGACATATGAAAAGAGGTTTTCCTCTCCACACCAGGTAAAAATATTAGATTATATAAATTGTGTTTTCATAACAAATACTGTTTTTAAGATATGCCAGAATTTGGTTAAGGATAAAACTGCCTTCCTTCTGGATGGCATAGTGCTTTTGGATGGTAATGATCATTGAGTGTTTTGGTTATCACCTCAAGGAATTTGAGTTTTACAACTTTTTGGAATTCCAGGAAAACATTTTTTGAGCATAGATCCCACTGGGCTTGGGAAGGCTTGTGATTTTGCAGTATCATTAAAGACTCGTAATCATCTTAGGGCAATTTTCCACATGAGGAATAATTAGCAAATGGTTCCTCTCCCTTCTTAGCTATCATGCGTGGACCCAGTGAACTGTGGGTTTTCTGAGTGGCAGTTTCCTAGAAGTAAAGAGTGATTCTGCCAGTCCATCTATACAGTTGTTTCCATCAATGTGCAAACTTCATATGAGGCGAATATTCTTTATGTCCTTGTTTCAAGGGAAACCGAAGCAAAATTTTTCTATAAGTATAACCAAAATTCTTAGAGATACACTAAGAAAGACTTATAACACTAAATAAACAGCTGTGTTTAATTGCACTTGATTATCTGTGTCTCATGTTTAATGAGACCTGCTTGGAAAGAATATCTTGATTTATATAGTGCAGAAAATGTTCACTGGATGCTTCTGGCTTATGTATCAACACAGGCTGCTGAAACTTCAAAATTTAGGATCCATAATTTTCTTTGAAATTACCAAGAGAATTACCAGAAATACAGTGTCTCAGTAGTGAAACTTTAATGTCCATACAGTTAACAGTAACAACTTGAACAGCACTTATAGCAGTGATAATGGCTAACACCTTTGTGGTGCATTGCTACTTGAAGTATAAACTCATCACGCCCCTCACTACAGCCCTATAATCTCCATCCCCAGTCTGCAGATGTGAAGGGAAGGGGAAGGCTGGTATTTGTTGAGTGACTGTTTGTGCTTGGCTTTCTTTTTATTCTATCATAATTAATGTTAACAGCCCTGCATAGCAGTGTTTTAACTATTTTTTAGGCTCAGTGAAGTTAAATAATTGCCAAATGTCATATAGTTATTAAAGGTTGAGGTGGCATTCAAACTTAACCTGACACTGAAACTGTTAAACTTCCCACTGTATCAGGTTGACTGGAAAGAATATCCTTAAAAAACTGATGAGGAAATTTACAATTTGATTTCATTTAAAAGATACATATATTTAGGATTATACATGCTCTTTGTACATTTTATAGTTTACAGTCTCATATAACCTGTGTTTAATATATATAAAATTTTTATAGGTCAGCCTGATTCACTCCAAGTTCAGATAACATTATAAGGTAGGATATGTTAAAGGATTAGTGGGGTTGAAGTCAAATTTGAAATCAAATTTGTTTTTAAATAGATATCAACATTTATTCACCTTATTCATATTGTTGCCACATCATTATGATTCTATTAGTGGAGATATTAATCTTAATAAATATGAATTTTTAAAAAATAAAATCTCCTTTTTATGGCATTGGTCATTTTGAAGGAAGGGAAAAGGGGAAGAAGGGAGGGAGGAAAGAAGGAAAGTAGGTAACATGAGGAAAAACTACCTAAATTTAAAACTGCCAATCAACTGATACCACAGAGTTATTCCAGTTTGCTTTATTTCAAATCCAGTAGAACTAATTATAGGCAAAATAGTAAAGCCTGAAAATGTTAGGTTCAATCCTACCTTTTTCTGTAAATGTTGTTCAAAGACATAACATTTCCTCCTACTGTCATCTTAAAACCTCTACTTCTAGTGGGCATTGTAGGTGATCACTGATATACACAACGTGTAATATCTGGCTCAAATTGATATTTGTTTCTGAAGAGGGATTTGTATAAAAATAGAACTAAAGAGTTTTTTTTTTTGATCTGATAAAGAAATAGTCAAACAAGTAACTAAGAAGATGGAGAAGGCAATGGAGAGAGAGGGGGAAAAAGGGAGGGAGGAAAGGAGGAATCCTGAAATCATACTAATCTCACTTTGTAGGACTCTGTAAGTAATACTGAAAATAGCAAGCCAAGTTCTTAACCTGGGTACAGTGATGAAGGGTCCATAGCTTTTGTTAGATTTTTAAAGGGCCCAAGGCCCAAAAGTATTAAAAACTACTGTTTTGTAGTGACATGACAGAAAGGTGATTGTGTTGGTAACCATTTCTACTTTCATATTGAAAAAAATATAATGTATGCTATTACCACAAGATTATAATTTTCTCAGTAGAGGAGGTGGATTTGATGAAATATTTTTTAAACCTCAACATGATTTGTTAGTGTAGGAGAGGGGAAGGAAGGAAGCCAAGAGTATAATCTCTAATCATATCTCAAGACAATCTGGATATTTTATTTTGAAACCTTTGTAAAATATTGTTGACCTTCTTAAGTTATTATTTCCTTCTGTATTTGTGATAAACAAGGAGTTTTTAGAGATTGATTTGGTATGGCAGATTTTTCTTATCGTCCATTCTCTATTTGTGGCATGGCATTTGAGTGCTAGGATTTACGTAATTAATGGAAGCAATGGAAGCTGATGCTAATAGATGGGACACAATCATTTTTTAATATAGCTGCCACGTGTAAACTATGCTCTTTCATAGTTTGCATAGTGGCATAATTCACCTTTGAACTTTGAGAAACATTGTGTGCAATTTTATAACTTATTTGTCTCCAACCTTTCTAGTGGCTCTAATTAAGGGGCATACTTGTAGTTAAAATATAAAATCTTACTAAGAGTGGTACATATACATAATTTCTACTTTATTTCTTGTTACCAAGCATTTGTCTGCCTCTCTTTCTGAGGTAATGATAACCGGTAGGTCACAAATTCCTTAACTATTATGTCCTTATAACTAATTTGAAGTCCCTTATGAAAAGACAGAAAAGAGACATGAAAGAAACTGGGCTATGTAGGAGAGGTTTAAAAAAATACTTATAAAAACCATGGGTACAAGAAAAAAAGAAATGAGTTCTGTTGGGGGAGCAGATCAGTATTCTTAGATGTGTTTCCCTCTGTAAATAATGAATAAGATCATATAACATAGGATAGTGTTTAAAGCTTATAGATGTTTATAGATGTCATTGAGAAAATCATTTTTTTTACCAGAAAAGGAAGTTAAAAGCATATTTATTATTCAGGGAATGTAAAAATATATAGGTTTGAAATAACAATTTTAGTTAGCTTCAAATCCTTTAGAGAGAAAAAGATGAAATTAGTAATGTTTAAATGATGAAGTTTGTATTCTACTAATAATCATAGAAATCCAATTTAAGCTAGCTTAAGCAAAAGAGGATTAGATTATGTTAATAATGTGGATGACTAGCTTTAGGCATGGCTGGATCCAAGTGCTCAAAAACATGCTATCATGGCCAAGTATTTCTCCATATCTCCACGTTCCTCCAATAGGGTGATAAGATGCCCACAATAGCTTTAAACTTATATTCAGTATTTTTAGCAACCCCAATAGAAAATGCACCTCTTTCTCAACAATTATAAAAGAAAGAGTTGACTGTTGACAGTCATCTTTAACCCCTACCCATCGTTAAATCATTCTTGATGGCCAGAGGTACAGAATACACTCACCGGCTAGGCCTGGGTCATGGTCTTGGAGCATTTCTTGGAGATAAACAGGGTACTGTCAACAGAAAAAGAACAAATGGATATTGGACAAGCAGAAACAAGTGCTCATTAGAGTGAGGCTGGAAAAGTAGACTAGTAATAAACAGGAATTCATTGTGCTACTATGCTTAATAATCAAAGTAAACTGAATAATGGCAATGACATTGTAGCCATCTAGAAAACTGTTAAATGACCGTGACCAGATACTTAGTGAAAACCAGGTTTTTGTAAATACGGTGCTATTCAGATCTTGAGATGGACATAAGAGTGAAAACCAGGGAATGGATCATACAGTTCTTTCAGATTGATTTGTTTACATTATTCATAAGGACCATTATAAAATATACAAAGGAAAGGGGAGAAACTGCTCCTTATACTATAATTAAACAGACCTACTAGCAAGGTTAATTTTATTTTTCCTCTACATCAGGGTGTGGTCACTAGTGAGCTCTGACTGGTATGTGTTTGTCTTTGAAGGATCAAATTGTAGTTGTATACTTAATTGCTTTTCATTGGATTGTTAGATGAGATTAGCTTCTAGAGAAGGATCTGGCAAAAATTTCAGTTCTAGGTTCCAGAAATGAGACAAAACAGTCTTGAGAAGTACTTCTGACTATCTAAGTCACGGGTAAAGTGGGAGAAAATGGCAGAAAATGAGAGCTCAGAAGATGAAAATGAAGGAAGGAAGAAAAAGGGAAAGCAAAACAAAAGAGCTGGACCTAGTAGAAAGTGCCAGAACCCCACCAGCAGCTACCACAGGGGCCTTGATTCTACCTGTCCAATGGCTTGTCTTAGGTTAAGTCAACAACTATGAAACATTGGGTCAAGACTTTTTTTTGAGGGCACCAACTCTTAAATGTGTTCATCTGCTTTTTGTTTCCTTTCTTGTTATTCATAGTCTTTATTGAGCATCCGTGGCTCCCTTTTCTCTCCAAGACGCAACAGTAGGGCGAGCCTTTTCAGCTTCAGAGGTCGAGCCAAGGATATCGGCTCTGAGAATGACTTTGCCGATGATGAGCACAGTACCTTTGAAGACAATGACAGCAGAAGAGACTCTCTGTTTGTGCCACACAGACATGGGGAGCGGCGCCACAGCAACGTCAGCCAGGCCAGCCGTGCCTCCAGGGTGCTCCCCATTCTGCCCATGAACGGGAAGATGCACAGTGCTGTGGACTGCAATGGAGTGGTCTCCCTGGTCGGGGGCCCTTCTGCCCTCACATCTCCTGCTGGGCAGCTCCTGCCAGAGGTGAGGCCAGTGGAACCTGCAGCTGGTGGGAAGGGAGCTGTGGCTGGTGCAGGTGGAAATGGTTTTCCATTTCCACATGTATAAGTTTTGTTGAGTCTATTGTTCAGATGTGG